GACACCTAGATGGCCCGGTGATTGGTGGATCGTCGAGCGGAGGAAGATGATTGTCTCTGGCTCTGATCATTGTGATTGTGAGGGGTTCTTGTGCCTTCCCCAACGGAGCACCAAAGGCAACTCTAGTGGATTGCGTGTGGCTTATGGATCCTCATCTTGTGTTGGTTGTGCGGCATTCGGTTCCGGGCTAGGCATGTGATGCCTATTAGCGCGTGAACCTCTAAGTGAGTGAATCGCCACAACTAGGAATAGCTTGCCGGCAAGCAAGTGAACCTCAGAGGAAAATTGATTGTGTCATCATTGTCTCATTGGTATTCTTTGGTATTCATTGATTGATCACTTGCCACGGTGATATATCACCTCTACCACTCTCTTGCTTTACTTTGTGTATTTACTTGTGTAGAGCTTGTGGGAGTTGTAGCTAGTTGTGTAGCTTAGCTTCTTAGTTGTAATTAGTTTCTTGCTAGCTCAACTAGTGTAGAAAGTAGTGACTTAGCCCTTGAGTGCTTAGTGATCTTAATTGACAAGAATTGTTGGTAGGTGGCTTGCATTTTTAGTAGGCTAGCGCAAAATTCGCTTCGTCTCATTTTTATCTAACCACTTGGCTTAGTGTTGTTGTAGATTTTTTAATAGGAAATTCATCCCCCTCTAGGGATTAGGACCTTTCACCGACGCCTCTACCCCAATGTGCTGCACCGCAACCCAACGCGGTCGCCTCACCGTGCACCTCCTCCAGCGTGGTGCACCACGAGCCGACGAGGTCCCCACTTCTGAGCTTCCCGGTCATAGTTCGCCATACCCCGACTGGCGGTGGCCGGCGCCCTCCCTCCAATGCTGCGCACTATGACTCGACGCCTAGGGCCCTAACTTCTTTGTGACGGCAATCGGCGCCACTACCCCCAGCAAAACGCACCGCGACCTACCACTGTTGCGTCACTGAGTACCCTCACTTCTAGCCTTCTTGGGCCTGGATCTATCATCCCTGTGTGGTGGTCAGGGCCTTTCCTCCTGTGGTGCACCACAAGTTGATGCGGTCACATGCTCGAGCCCTCCTTCTAGACTATTCGAGCATGGATCTGTTGTCCCAGTGTGGTGACGACCGGCGCCACTCCCCATTGTGGCGCACCGTGCGCCTATGACCTAGACCTAGATCTGGTGTCCCCGGGTGGCGGCGGCCGGTGCCACCCCCTACGCGGCGCACCGTGACCCGCCGTTGCCCCCCCTCCTTCTGGGGTTCCCGGGGCCGGTTCTGCTGTCCCCGTGTGGCGACAACCAACGCCACCCTCCCCCAGTGCACCCACCATACCGTGCATGTCAAGGTTCTGGGCGAAAGCCCAGCCCATCTCTACGCTGGACCAGCAACAATGATCATGCTCGACAGGATTTCCTTCTTGAAGGCATCGTTGAAGAACCTCTTGCGATCTCATCTCCTCGGTCGTCCAGGTCGATGATGTTCTCCTCGGCATAAGAATTGGGCGAAAGCCTTATGAAGCTCCTGCTTGGCCGACAATGATTATATTTTAGCATCATTTACCTCACTGGAGGCATCGTCGAAGAGCTATTGTGCCTTGGTGTGGTGGTGTAGCTTTTCTCTTTCTACTAGTATTTTTGTGTGGTTGTGCCATCGTTTGCCCCGGGGGCGTTTGTTGTTGTGACTGTTGTTGTTGTTGTTGTTGTTGTCGTCGTTGTTTTCTTATTCGCGGATATGCCACAACCTCACGGATTGTTTTATTTTTAATCCTTTTATTCAATATTTTAATAATAACTCCTCAAAAAATTTGCAGGACCCTTTTGGTCGCGCGAGTGTCGCTGATGCGATAAAAAACGTTGTCGTGCCACATGTATTGGCACGGCAACATCTACTACGTTAGACGGCATTTCTGACATGGGAAACCTAATCACGGTGTTGTTTTTTCGCGCCACCGGGAATAGAGTGACAAGACTGAATCTTAGAAAAAATAATAATTTTACGATACGACATCAGATGAAGATGAATTTTATATGAAAATTCTAGCTCTCTATGAAATCTACAACTTTTTAGTTTTAAGTTTTTTCATTTAAACATGTTAAGATGCTCATAAAATAATATCAATTTCAGGAGCACGATAATCGCGTACTAGTGCTTGTCGCATTAGCAAAATAATATCTTTTATGTATGGTGTCAAATGAAGATACTCTTTACATCAAAGTTCTAGGTCTCAATGAGATCAACAACTTTATAGTTATGAGTTTTTACATTTGATGTCGTTGACAAGCACGAAAAATTAATAAAAAATTTCAGCAGCATAATAATCGCGTTCTAGTGCTCGTCGCATTAGAAAAATAATATCGTATTTGTAAGTTGTCAAAGAAGGTACTTTTTATATCAAAGTTACAGCGCCCCATAAGATCTAAAGCTTTCATTTAAAAGTATTTTTATGCAGTATCAAATAAGAAATATATGGTTTTTCTAAAAAGATAAGCTTTGAGACGATTAATATGTCCTAAAATTTTGCATTATTTTGTTGGGTATCTTAACTATCTAAAATGAAAGACCTCAAAACTAAAAAGTTGTTGATATCATAGTTAGATATGACTTTAATATAAAAAGTATCTTCATTTGACACTATATAGGAAAAATATAATTTTAGTAAGACGACAAGACCTAATGCATGATTAATATGCAGGTAAAACTTTTTATTAATTTTTAGAGTATGTTAACGATCTCAAATATAAAAACTCAAAACTATAAAGTTGTAGATCTCATTCAGAGCCACAACTTTGATAAAAGATGTATGTCCATTTGACACCATAAAAAAATAATACTCCCTCCGTTCTAAATTATAAGTCGTTTTGACTTTTTGTTTATCCATTTTGCTATGTATCTAGACATATTACTATATCTAGATACATAACAAAATGAATGTACCAAAAAATTTAAAGTGACTTATAATTTGGAATGGAAAAAATATTATTTTTCTAATTCGACAAATCCTAGTACGCGATTATATATGCAGCTGAAATTTTCTATTATTTTTTCAAGCATCTTAACGATCATAAATGTAACAACTCCAAACTCTAAAATTGTAGATCTTGCTGAAAACTACAACTTTGATGTAAAGAGTATCTTCATTTGACATTATAAAAAATATATTATTTTTCTAATACGATAAGCACTAGTCGATTATTATGCTCTTGTTTATATTATTTTTTGAGCTTCTTAACGTCCTCGAATGAAAAACCTTGTAGATCTCATCGAGGGCTACAATATTGATATAAAATTCATCTTTATCCAATGTCGTATCCACAATTTATGATTTTTCTAAGGTTCAATCTTGTCGTGCCACTCCCGATGGCGCGACAAAACGATATTGTCACGCCAACAAAAGTGGCGTGACAAGGTTTTTTCCACGTCGGAAACGTTGTCTAACATGTCATATGTTGACGCGCCAATGCATGTGGCGCGACAATGTTATTTCGTCGCGCCAGCAGCGCTGGCGCAACCAAAAGGTTCAGATTTGCTAAAAAAAGTTAGGAGCAGTTATTATTAAAATATTAAATAATAAAGGATTAAAAATAAAAAAAAATCCCCTTGTGCTAACGTTGTTGTATGGTTTTAGTCTTGTTTTTCAAAATTAATCGAAAGGGTTTTTGCCTTGTTATAAAAAAATGAGGCTGTTGATAATATATCAGCACTATTCAGTTGGGGATTCATCCCCTGGTGACACTTTAAGAAAAAATCTTCTCAAACTAGTCTTGCACAGATTGGTCCCGTAATGCTTAGCAGCGGGCGTCCATCCATCTGGACGCCGCTTGCAGGGCCTGCACGCTACCGGCCAATCAGGCCTGCTTCCTCTTTGTCTCTCCCATCTCTCTCTAAAAAATATCTCTTACTCCTGTGCTCGTCCATTGTAAGCAGCTGCGCCGTGTGCTCGATGCGCACCCTATCCCGCGCCACGTGGCTCCTCCATCCAGTGCCACGCTCCTATCTTGTGCCGCGCCCCCTTCGTCGCTGTGTCGCGCTCCATCCCCTGCCGCGCCCGCTCTAGCTCGCTACGCGCCACGCCCCCGCTGCTGCGCGCCGTGTCCCGTCCCCCGCATGCGCTAAGGTGCTGCTAGGGTGCTACCGAGGTGCTGCCGACGCCGTTGTTCCCCACCGGAAGGTCGTGGCCGCTGTCAACGCCGTGGCCACCGCAACGCGCGACCTCAGCAAGAAAATGTTACGCTGAAAACGCATGTTGCAAGTGTATGTTTCAAGTATTTCAGACGTTTAAGAGGTACATGTTGCAATTGCTTCATATGGATGTTGCAAATGTAGATCGAGGATGTTGCAAGTGTTTCATTGGTGTTGTTCAAAATGTTTCATCTGTTCCAGACGTATGTTGGAAGTTGTAGCGTTTTCATGTTGCAAATTGCAAGTGTTTTAACTAGATATTGTATATGTTTCACACATATAATTGCAAGTGTATGTTCCATATGTTTTCTTGTTGCATGTGTTTTTATGTTGTTCGGAGAGTCCGGAGTCGCGGGGAGTGATGGTGGCACGGCACGCGTGCGGTGAGCTAGGGGCCGACGGTCGGGACTCGACGGGGCGGGGTACGGTGCACATGCGAGACAAGGCGAACGGTCTCGAATCGAGGCGGACAGAGCGAGCTGCGTGTGCGAGGCGAGTCGTCCGGACGCTCGGGCGCTGCGACAGGGCGGGGTGCGCGTGCGGTGTGGGAAAATATCAGCGGACAGGGGCTGCGCGCGTCCGTATGCACGCCATTTCAGACGTCCAGGCGCTAGCACCGTCGAGATTGGTCTGGCTAACCAGTAAGCCTACTTGAGTAGGATTGTAAGTTTGTACAATTCTTTCTCTCTGAACGAAAAATATGCTCAAACACAGCTGACAAAAAAAAATCACGGAGTCCATAACCGCAGGAGAAGACCTTCAGAACTCAAATGAATCTTTTATTCAAATAACAGCACACTCTACAGCATCATCTCCCTTGTCAGGTCAAAATGCCTGCTTGACCAAGATGGGCGAGATCTCCCTGTACTTCTTCAGCGTCGCACTGCATCTTGTGCACATCAAAGATCCCTCGGCGTCGGTTCTTGTTCCGTCGCTGTCGGGCGAGATGCCCGTCGCCGTGGAGGACAGGGGCGGTGGTGCAGTCGCGCTGATGCTGGCGTCCCTCTTCCTCCTGGGCACATGGCCAGTTCTCCTGACGCTGCTGGAGCGCAGAGGCCGGCTGCCTCAGCACACCTACCTCGACTACTCCATCACCAACCTCCTCGCCGCCGTCCTGATGGCCGTCGCGTTTGGGCAGGCTAGAGATAGCAGGCCAGACTTCTTCACTCAGCTGACCCAGGTCAGTGTTCTGGATCCCTTAGGATTGTCAGAAATTGCTAATCTGAGTTTGACGGGCATGCCTTCCCTTTCGGTAGTAAATTAACGTTTTCCAAACCAAGGGGGCCCTGATGCTTCTGAAAAATTGAGCGTTGCAGCCACACTGTTTGCATGTTTAACCATTCCCATATAAGAGACTTTGGTCACGTTTGGATACAACAGCTAAATGCCAGCTAGTTAAAAATTAGTTAAAATTAATCCTAATGCATTCAAACAGAAGGGTTAATAGGTGACTAATTTTGTAGCCCAACTTCATACTGATGAAGGATTCGGAGCCTGCTTCTCTCTTCTCACCGGCGATCAACCTGGCCACCAACGACCAGTGGCGTGCCCTCAGGAAGGGTGTCCCTCACCTGGTGGTCTACACCGCCTTCTTCTACTTCTCGGTGTCGTGTTTCGTGCTCGGAGCCTGCCTCAACGTCTGGCTTCTGTATCACCCTATGGCCGGTGTGCCGGCATCGACCGCCGGAGCATACGCCAGGGACTGGAACGGCAGGCATTGGGCCCTCCTAGCAGGGCTGCTCTGTGGTTTTGGGAACGGTTTTCAGTTCATGGGCGGCCAGGCTGCTGGGTACGCGGCTGCTGATGCAGTCCAGGTATTCTCTTTCACATCCATCACAGCTTCAGTAATTCCTGGCAACTGTAATCTCATTCAGCTGTAATCTGGTGTTCCATGATCAGGCGCTGCCCCTTGTAAGCACATTTTGGGGTGTCATCCTCTTTGGGGAATACCGAAGGTCATCGAGAAAGACATTCCTGTTGCTCTTTTCCATGCTGTCGATGTTCATCATCGCTGTTGCAGTTCTCATGGCTTCAGCAGGGCATAGGAAGGGATTTGATACCAATGCTAAATTCAATGTAACCAGATTGCACAGAAGTTCAGTTTATCAAGACAGTACGCACAACTAGAGGAACTTTCAGCAATTTCAACATGTCCAGCATATATTTTTTATTTCAACATATCCAGAATATAACAGAAAAGTCTCCAAACCACACAAGTAGCCACTCAAAGTGAGTCTCCATGAACAAATCTAAAACACACCCAAAAAAAAAAAAGCTGTCTCCATGCACAATCAAAACATAAAAACTTAAATTGATTACAGGTCTCTACTCGAAAGGGAAATGATAGTATAAAAATCTTTCAAAGGATTAAGGGGATCCCCAATTGTTTCTTTAGCCTGCGGATCAGTTGCCAGTTTTCATCGCTCATCTCATCCTGCAACAAGAATATCCACATGAGTTCTGGCAACAAGAAGAATATCTACATAGCTTGCCCCAAGCTCACTAACATCACTAGCACTACCAACTTACCCGATAGTACTCTTTCAGCACATCAATGGATTTCCTAGAGATTTGGCTGAGCAGCTCATTGTCAGAGTTAAAATGGCGTCCATACACCCGGGACCTCTCCTGAGGATTCTCTCCAATTATCTGGTAAAAGGGCGTACCCAGTGCAGAGAGCTCCCGCTCTGTGCGGGGTCTGGGGAAGGGTGTTAGTGGCAAGCCTTACCCTCGCCTGTGCAATGCGAGGAGACCGCGACTCGAACCCGGGACCTTCCGGTCACAGGCGGTAAGACTCTATCGCTTGCACCAGGCCCGCCCTTCAATTATCTGGTAGTGGCAATGAAATTCATTAGTGTTGTTGTCTTTGATGTTGTCACCTGTCGTAACTACCAAATTATGTTTAAGGCTCTTACCTTTAATGACACAATTCCATTACTGGCAGAATTGATCTGCATGCCATTGGATGTTTTCATTGATGAGATCCTCCCAAGGGCATGAATCACATCAGCACTGCTATCCTTACTTTGAACACAAACACAAATAGGGGTTCCCACCTGAAACAAGTCACAAGTAACCACTCATTAACACCTCTATCTAGTAATCAATTTTGCAAGACTTATGAATCAACATTCAAAGACTGAATCTTTAAAATAAGAGAAGCGCTGAACAAAGATGTAACTGGTTGTAATGGATTTGCATTCCACTCAAATACCCTAACACAAAAAAATATAATTACGAATAAATACACTTCAGAGCACTGGGCTACGAAAGTACCTTGACAATGCTTTCCAGAACTTCAACATCACAAACAACTGGATCGTTGCTATGGTAGACACGGTTTGGAAGAATCCTAAGGGTGCATGGGAACACTGCGTCAGCTGCACATTGCTTCTTCATCTCTTCTTTCAATTTATTAATGTGATCAGTAAAACTATCAACAAGCTTGTATACTGTATCAGCCATAAAAATCTTCACCCCCGATTCAGCTGCAAGTTCAAAAGCCTCAGGCATTACTTTGACATCAAAGGCCAAGATAGCTACATACTCTTCTTTCCTCTTCAGCATGGCAGTTGCTTTCATGACATCCTGCTTGTGGACTGGGCCTAAGTTGCAACCACTGACAGGAACATCCAAAGCAAGCGCCTTCAAATGTTTAATAATATGCTACCAAGGTTCCAAGACTAGATGCTTGCACATATACACCATCCCTGCAATGCTTGATCCTACTAATTTATTGTATTTCTGTTCCATCTTCATTCTCACCCCTTTCATCCTCGTTGATGAGGCTGATGGCCTTGCTGATTTCTTGCATTGCTGCAGCTTCAGCTCGTTCCATATCATCCCCCGGCTTTACCACAATGAGAGAAGTGCCTGCCATAGCATGTTGCAGCCCCTGAAAAGACAAAACAAGCAAATGAGTACTACATTGAAATCTGGATTCGGCGTTTTTACAGAAAGAACATGAATAAAAACGAAACTTACTCGTACTGCAATTTTAACCCCTTGAGCAGCTTTAAGCTCCTCGTGATGCCTGTATACTCCCTGATTGAAAAGTTGCAGAGATATGTTAGTAAGAAATTGTTATTAATACAGTATGAAAACATTGAACTTATGTTCTCAGCCATCCCAAATTCAAATCCTGAGGCAAACAAACTAAAAGAAAAAAGAAGTTTAAACAACTCCACGAACACAATACACATGCCTTTTTTATTCTCAAACTGAAGTACAAGGCAGTGTTTTCAGATCGGACGACTCGTCCTTATCGTAACTAGGTGCTCGATAAGGGCCCTCGATTAGTTTAGACCGATTAGAAACATTATCGTCCGATAAGTTGCGACTAATCACGATTAGTCGTCCGATCAGACTAGCCGGACGACTAGTTGGGTAGGGAGAATTCGGCCCACCTTTAGCTGGCCCATTAGGGTAAGAAGAAGAGGAGTGAGTGAGTGACCTAGTGAAGGAGCTGCAGCCGCCGCACATTTCAAGCTCCCGCTCGGCACATTTCCAATTCCCGCTCTGGCTCTGCTCTCTCTCGCAGCCGCCGGCACCTCCGCCCGCGTCTCCTCTGCCTGTGACCTGCCTCTCTGGATCTCCCTCGCCAGCGTCCGCAGCTCCGTCCGCGCCCCTCGCCGGCATCCGCAGCTCCGTCCGCGCCTCTCGCCGCGCCCGTAGCTCCACCCGCACCTCCACCTCCACCCGCACCTGTCTCCTCCCCTGCCGGGACCCAGTAGCTCCGCCCGCCTCTAAGGCACAGTCGCTCTGAGCTCCTTCCTCAACGCCTGGAGGACAGACGCGGGAGGCCTCAAGCATCAAGATGAGCCACCACTCTGCCTCCTCTGAAGGTTATTGTCTATGTCTGCTACTCTGCTGCTGTGTATTGCCTGTTGCCACCAATTTGTGACACATTTGTGTGGCTGTGCCGCTCTGCAGTGGATGCTCGACGGCGTGCAGTTGTTGAGGTAATTCTACCTGAGAATGAAGCTGTCTTAGGAGGGGCTGCCTCAGCGTCGTCAGCTGCTCCAACTGAAGCATCTCTAATAGCTCAAGCGATAGCTAAATTGCCACCAGATCTTGCTGCCATGGCTGAAGATAAGAGGAAGGCAAAATCATCAGATCCTGGATGGAAATATGGGTTTTGGCCAGACATAGGGAAGAAAGAGTTCATCCAATGTATTTTCTACAAAAAGGTTGTCCCTGCAGGCATTAAAAGGTTCAAGCAACACCTTATTGGGGGCTATTCTGATGCAGTGAAATGTGGTGAAGCACCTGAACTAGTTAGGCATGAGATGAATGGTTACTTGGTCACAAGGTCAAGGACTCAGGTTCAGGTACCTGCAGACACTAGGGTGGAGACAGAAATAGAAGAAGAAACAGATCAAGGTGGAGGTGGTGCTTCTGTTGCTGCTGAAAATGAACCAAATGCTGGGACAAAGTCAAAGCAAGTTCCAAGTTCTGGGACAAAATCAAAGCAAGCGAAAAAGATAGCTCAAGCATCAATCACGAACTTTGTGGTTTTTGCTCCACCAAAACCTCAAACACAGAAGCATTCCAAGTCAGTGAGTTCTTTGCTTTGCAAAAGTCTAGAAGAAGTGGTTGCAGAAAGGCACAAGTCCAAGATGTCACAGCCCACTCTTGAGTACTCCACAAAGAGCAAGGAAGCAAAGCAAATTGTAGATGACCATGTGGCTGATTTTTTTTATGAGAATGGAATACCATTGAATGCTATTAACTTAAGAAGCTGGGAGATTATGCATGAGTCCATTGGCAATATGGTCCTGGGTATCGCTCACCTTCATACCATGAGATTAGGAATCCACTACTTGATAGGGCAGTGAACAAGACAGAGGAGCTGAGAAAGAAGCATGAGGACGCTTGGAAGGAATATGGCTGCACAATCATGTCAGATGGATGGACTGACACTAGCCACCGTCATCTCATCAACTTTCTTGCGAATAGCCCAGCTAGAACATTCTTCTTAGGTTCAGTTGATGCTTCAAGTGAGATAGCCAATGCTTCTATGTTAGCAGACTTGTTAGAGAAACAAATTGACAAGGTTGGGAAGGAGTATGTGGTGCAAATTGTCACAGATAATGGATCAAACTACAAGGCTGCTGGAATAATTCTTATGGAGAGGATCCCAACTTTGTTTTGGACACCATGTGTTGCCCACTGTTTGGATTTGATGATGGAGGACATTGGGAAGATACCTGAGTTTAGCTCTTGCATTAATTCGGCTAAGACGGTGTGTAGGTTTCTCTACAAGCATGGGTGGATTCTGGATCTTATGCGAGAGAAGATTGGTGGTGATCTTGTGAGGCCTGTTGTTACTCGCTTTGCTACTTCCTATCTCACATTAGCAAGCATGCATAAGAACAAATAGGGGCTGAGGAGTTTGTTTGTGAGTGAGGAATGGCATTCCAACAGCTTGTCAAAAAGTGTTGAAGGGCGGCAGGCTGAGAACACAATCCTTTCCATACCATTTTAGACAAAAGTGGAGTACTGTATAAAAGCAACACAACCCCTTCTCATTGCTATGAGGATAGCAGATGGTGATGAAACACCAGCAGCTCCTGAGATAATGGCAGCAATGGATGTTGCAAAGAAGACCATCAAGGAAACTTTGCGAGACAAATCATCATTACTGAATGATGTAATGGAATGCTATGACAAGAGATGGGAGAACCAGATGAAGCAAAAACTATATGGAGTAGCCCTCTTCTTGAATCCTGGAAAGTACTTTGCATAAAGGAAAAGGATAGGAGACAAGCTACAAAGCTAAGGTGCATGTTTAATGACATTATATGGAAGATGGTACCTGATGAGAGTGAAGCGAGGAAAATAAGCAAGCAAGATGATGATTATGACATGACTGAGGGTGAATGTTTCTCAAAGAGATTAGCAATAGTAGAGAGAAATAGCAAAAATCCTAGTAAATAATGAGCAGTTCAGCAGTCAGCACTTTCTTTTAATTAAGCTATAATTCTCTATGTGATGAGCTACTGATTATATTATTGTTTTGCTTGTAATCTACAACTACATTTCTATGGTGGGATGCTTTTGGTGGCCTTGCATTCGAGCTACAGAGTTTAGCAAAACGAATTGTAAGCCTCTGTTGTTCGGCGTCTGGTTGTGAGCGCAACTGGAGCGCTTTTGCTCATGTAAGTGCAATTTCTATGGCTGCAGGTGCATACTAATGAATTCTTATATGCTGCAGCCATCTAATTAATTTGCTCCTATTTTCTATGGCTGCAGGTGCATACTAAAAAGAGGAACCGTTTGGAGCACATTAGGTTGAATAAGTTGGTATTTGTTAGCTACAACCGTATGATGACATTCAGGTTTCAGAAAATTCGTGAGCTCGGTTCTAAAGGCAAGAAATCCAACCCATTGCTTCTAGAAGAGTTTCAATGGGAAAATGAGTGGGTAGACATCAACTGTGACCCAGTTCATGCATCTAATGGCAGTGATATGCTTTGGACACATGTTGATGAAGCTGTTGGTGCAACCGACCAGCTTAGAGGCCGCAATATGCCTAGGGCTGCTGCTGCTCGTGCGAGGAATACTGTCACCCGCACATATGGGAGGAATAACAAAAGGAAGTGTCCAAGTCCAAGGTCAGATGCACCAGCAACTGAAAGCAGTGATCATGAAGAAGAGGAAAACAGAGTTGCACCAGAACAGCCACAAGGTGCAAGTGCAACAAATGAAGAAATGGAGGACCAGGGAGGGGAGGAAGACTCAGGCGGACCTGCAACAAATGATGGAAATGAAGACTTCCATGTGGACGCAGATTTACTTCTCTAGATGGCTGAATTGCTGGTTCTATGGATCAGTGGACTGGATGTTTAGAACTCCATTTCAGACTTAAGAACTTGCTTAAGTTTATTAGTTTACTTATGTTGTGTACTGCTGTGCACAGTGTGCACTGTGCTAAACTGCTGTTAGTTCTTATTTGTTAAATTTGTACTTGGTTAAGTTGTTTTGCCATGCTCTAATGTCTACTACTCTTTACATTTTCTTTAGTCTTTACAGTTTTGTTTTTCTATTATTTTGCCTATTTAACTGATTATCTTCTTTCTTTGTAATTTCAGATTCAGCCACAAGTCAGCAGTCAGCACTCACCATCAGGCATCAGCAAGCAGCAGTTACAGGTAAGTGGCCAAATCACCATGATAATGATTCATTGCAAACATGATTACATGCCAAACTGTGCTTGGTTGCTTGCCTCTAACATTTACCTATTTATTATGGCCATGTTTACATATATTTACATCATATATATAGTATATACATGGTCGATCAGGCCATCTAGGCACAAGGACGACTAAATGTCCGACTAGCTGATTAGACCGATTAGGACCGACTAATCGACCCTTATCGACGACAATCGCGATTAGTCTCGATTAGTCGTCTGATCGGTGGTCATACGACTAGCCTCGATAATACGATATGAAAACATTGGTACAAGGTAGTTCAAAATCACATAGAGGGGAGAAAATGAGTAGAAACTTGGATCCCCAGCTATTTTGCAACAAATTATGGTTTTAAACAAGAAATCAGCTCTAGGTGATAATTATTGAACCACAAGAAGAAGAAATCAAGTTAAGCAAACAAATCTTGCACATTCATGGTAATTAAAATTATAATTTTTTAGGCCCTTTTATTCTTTTATTACTTCTTGATTGATTTGTTGAACACCTATGTTTAGGTGATATAAATGTGAGTGCATTCTGCACTTGCACTGACAATAGGGCGTGGATATTTTTGGACACAATGGGTAGTATTGATATTCACGCAACTATTGTAACAACAATACCAGGGATGGCAATGGCTACCCGAAACCCTATCGGTTTTCACCCCATTGGGGCATGGGCATAGATCAATTCCTAAAACCAATGTGTTTTACAATGGGCAGAATGTCATATCCATCGGATATGTGGGTACATGTATGGCCTGTATAGTACCCAAACCCGCAAATCCATGGGTATTTGCTACTCAGTTCAAACTATGTAAAAAACTCATCCTCTAGCATATTATTTTTGTGGTTGCTTGTGCCTAGCCTATTTTGTTACAATCCTGCTACTATGTGTGGTGAACTGGTGATCTTGATCGAGTTATTGTTGTGGTGGCAAGATGAGTTGAACTTTATGTCGTCAGTGGACTTCTAGTTGAAAACTTGAAGTATTATTGGATAGTGTTTTATGATGAGCTAATGAACTATATATTGCCTATTTGAGTTAGTTGTTGCATGCAACTTTTTATGACTATGTGACATGCTTATTCGCTCATATGGCCGCAATGGCATTGGCATATACTCAACATATGCTTGCTTCCATGTTGATAATTGTATAATGGTGTAGTTTTTCTCGGGTATGGGCAACCCCACGGGTACACGCTACCAACACGGGCATCCTAGTTCAAGTTCAACTACTCCCAAACAAACATAAAAGCACCGAAGCTCTTCTAAAACTATTCCAAACAAAGAAACTTATAGAATAGTGGTTCCAGAATCCAAATCGCACAATATATGAATAGCTGATGTGCCAGAAGTAAAAGAAGTATTAATGTCCAAAGGTTTCTTTTACTTTTAGTAGTTCTTAAAAAATGAACCGTGTTTGATGAGAGGAAAAACATGTAACATCATCCAAAACACTATGCAAGAATCAAACACAGATATTGTGGAATATGCAAAATGTGATGTGTGAACAAAGTTGTATCCTAAATCCTTACTCACAGATGCATATGATATATCATATATGTCCAAAATTTAATCTTGGATATAAAATTAAGCATTGATACAAACTAGACCCATCACAATAAAACATCTGATGATTACACAGGTGGTATCAGAGTTAGGTTTAGATCTTACGGCTAAATGAGGCATGTGGACATTTGGGAGTAGGTGTACTGGGTAGGTCTGTATTCACAGCAAGCACCACATAACATGTGCATATATGCATGCTTAGATGATCTTGAGCCAAAGCATTATGATTAGTGTCCTTATGTTATATGTATGCTTAGATAATTTTTGAGTCAAAACATTATGATTAGCGCATATATGCATTCTTAGATAATTTTGAGTCACGACATTAGAGTCGAACTGTTGATGGTAACTATAACACTGCAAGTGTTAATGATTATGTCAAGAAGATTTTGAAAATCTTAGCAACTAGATACGTGGGGTAAGTTCTGGATAGGTATACGGGCAGCTGATGGCAACAAACAAATAAATAAGTAAATAAATAAAGGATATTAACTCCTACATATGCAACCAAGGAAAACATGCATTAACAAAAAAATGGTTTCATCATCTACCCACCTTAACTTTGAGTTCTTTCATTGGAGGAGTCAACAAGTACCTTATATTGGTTGTGACAGGCCCCTACAGATTAAATGAAAAAAAATTCTCCGATAAGATGCAACATTGGATGGTGCATGTTCAATTTTAAACTCAATAAATCATACCCGTTTGGTGCAGACAACAATTCGATCACCTTTCCGAAGTGCACCATTAATCAGCACTACATCAATTGTTGTTCCAAAGTCCTTATCTTCATTGACCTCCAGCACAGTACACTGAAATAAATATGGCAACAAAATCACCAACACGCTCAAATAAAAAATGATCCAAGTAACAAATCAGTAACTTTAGTTCAGTTCGATACAATCCCTTCATAAAAAAGATTTTCATACTCATCATAACTCAACAAACAAAAGAATTACTAACTATAGTGCAAAAATGTCCTCAAGAACAGACCTGCACAGTATTGACATATGTCAGTCTCTCCATCATTATTTTTGGCACCCATCGCACCAGAAGCAAAAGTAGGTCTGGAATGCCTTCACCGCTGGAGAATATTATGGTATAAGTTAGAGAGAAGACAAATGTGTAGAAAACATACAAAGCATTTGCCTTAATAATGCAACCAACAAAACATATAGCTGACATACCTTACAGCGATGGTTGGGACAATATTGACCACTTGCTTCAGCTTCTTGTTCTCATAATACAGGGCAGCGTTGAAACCCTTTTCCATAAGTTGTGTTATAACCTATTAAATAAACCACTTATGAATCAAATCCAATTGATCAGAGGTAATAGTAAATCAATGAACATGACAACATGTCTACTTCAGTTACCCTCCATTTGAATTCTCTTTGTACATCATCAGTTTGGTTCTTAAGGGCTTTTGCTATTGGTGCATTGATACAGGTCTTCCAACCATATAGCCGATCAACTTTGTTCAAGGCAACAATAAACCTCACATTGCGGTGTTTCAAAAGATCAAGGGACTCCATGGTCTGCTTCTCAAGCCCACGTGTAATATCAACAACCACAACAGCAATGTCACACAGACTTTGTAACAGAACCGACCAATTTATAAGAGCACAAGTACGAAAGCAATCACCGGAGTGATCAAACCGCCATACTTAAACCCATATAAACCCGGTAGTCAACTGAAACCACGAAGGATTTCAAACCAACTTGCATGCAACCAAGATCACAGTAATTCAACATAACAAGCCACATGTTACATCCATTTCACAAGTAGTTCACAAGTACCTTATACATCAGAGTTCACATAGTTATTACAAAACGAATTCACAAATAGCGGAAGCAAAGTAGTTTGAGACCATCACACCCACTTAGTTCAAATACAAGCCAGCTCCATAGTCATATCTAGCAAAAGCAACAAGATAAGATAACATAGATGATCATGCCCGTGATCTAGTCTTCATTCCCAGCAGGGTGGAGACAATACTTGCAGTAGCCGTTATAGAGCACGTCATCTGCAACAAGGGGAAAATAAACCCTGAGTACGAGAATGTACTCAGCTAGACTTACCCGTCGTAAACCAAAAATAAATGACACCAAGGAGTATGCAAGGCTTTATCGGTGGATCTTGCTTGACAACCATTTTGCATAAAAGCTTTAGTGATATGAGAGCATAATTTACATTATTAGTAAGCAGCAAGTTATCCATATTAACCTGTCAACTAGATTAGCACCTGTACTAGAGCAAGTAATTGATTAGACTCCAAACATTAGTAACCATAGACAGTATATTGTTGTATCATCATCATCATCGATTTAACCATCAAGTTTCATTAAGTACATCTACGTTGCCGCTGCTCAGTAAAGTTCTCACTATCCAGGAGAGACGGCGATTCAAATCGATTCCTATCCAGCTGGAGGGGTATTCCTAACACAAACCCAGGCATACCGCACGAAGGCAGCCTTAGGTCACCTTTGGTACAACTCAGGAATCGTGGCTCCGAGCAGCCCCGCACCCTCAGGGAGTCCACTCTGCCAGGTGGTCAATCTCACCTAGGACTTACGCCAATGGCTCCCCGCACATCCTTACTACCGCCAGGGTGCGCAGTTTCACTTCTCGGTCTTCCGGCCTGCGTCGAGCTACTCGGCTTCGCGGTCGGAACGAGTTATCCGGCCAACTAAGTGATAGGCATGCGTTCAACATGACATGAGGACGTACAGTGAATCGGTCCTTAACCGACATAGACGGGGATAGATCCACACCAAGACCTCCTTGCCTTGTTGCTTCTTCTATCGACATCCCGTCCGGTCTCCTTTTTATTCATTAACACATGGTTATTTCCACGATGGCAAATATAGCCAACCGTGACCAGACATCATCCTAACTTGCAGGTGACAGGAAATCACCTGACTTTTACCGGTCTAAGCAAGGCTAAGCTTTGATTCGCTCCTAGACCTAAATAGGATTCAGGGTATATTTACTGGACAAGGAATAGATATATATATGCAGCAAGTGTTTGCATCCAATTCCTATCACTTAATGCATCAATAAATAAAGATACTCAAAGTAACCATTTTCAAAACATAGGAGACTTAGAATGCTCCGGGGCTTACCTTTCAGAAAAGATGAAGGTTGGTGATCGGGGCACTCAAGAACTTCTTCGTTGGCTCCTTCTTTGGGGACCTGCACCTCCTGCTCCTGAGGTTGCTGCTGATCCTCCGGAAGTACTTGCTCGAATTCCAAAAGTGTGACTCCCTCCAGAACACCTATTGCATGCATATGCATAGCATAAGAATCATGTATGCACAAGAGATGGAAGGTGATGATGAAATGCACAGCCATGTATGGATGGACGCATGAACAACATGATGATACAAGCTTAACGTCTATTTTACCGAGTAGGTGCATATCTCTATGAGAAAACAAGAACTGCACACTCACCAAGCTCTAACAACCTAAGATAAAGTTGTTCATCTTCAGTAAGAGGTCTAGCACCTGCAACTAACAATTTATCTTAATTATCCTAGCATCTAAATCATCACATCAACTCTTATAAAGCAAACAAATCATTCATTGCACTTAACAGTTTTTAGGCTACAAACAGCAGCTACAAGTTTGATCTATAACTGGAGTTCTACGGATCCAAATACCATGATTTAAGACTTTCTGGAAAGCTTATAAAAGTATCTACAACTTTTGTTTAATCACCAAAGTCTAATTCAAACTCAAACTAGGTCAAACAGACTGATCTTTCAAAACTGTATGTGGATTCTAGAGAGCAGGCAGTTGGGAGTGCTGTCTTCCAACTGACATAACTCTCAAACTACTAGGCCAAATGCCTTGAAATTTTGACACCAGCTAGGTAAGCAAGTTTCCTACAACTTTGTTATTGACCAAATTCACAGCAAACATCAAATTCACCAGTTGATTTGCTTAACTCTAAAATTTGTCCAGAAAGTCACTATAAGTGAATTATAGCGAAAATAATATTTCATTACATACAAGAATAGCGCTATAAGTACTACCAATGCTACCAACAGTTAACATACATCAAATGAACACTAGAAAACATAGTGGCCATTCCTAAATAAATTATTTTCATGCCTTTATTAATTTATTTAGATACTTAGGTTAAATAATAAACACATATCCAAAGTATACAGAAAATTCCACAACAATTACAGTAGCTTAGATATGTCCCTAATAGGCTACTGTATAAATTTCACACCATTTCTACAAACATAACATCCTACACAAAAATGACAAGCTCGTTGGGCTTAAAATAGCATAAATAGAAAACCCTAGTGAAAAGTGTCAAGCAACAGATTTTATATTTTTCTTAGGTTCATCATGACACCATAACACTGTACAAAAAGTTTCATGCTCACTGGATACATATTTTTACCATGAAAAATAGCACAAGAATCTCCTAATTATAAAAGGGAAATTAATAACTCAAAAACTATCCATGAAACGACTCTCAAATTTTTACCAGAGCTTATACTCCTCAAGAATAGCTCACCATACAATTTTCATAATTTTTGGAGCACTACAACTCTAGATATGAGTTAAACAAGTTTGCATTCATTTAAAAACACATTTTAAGTTCCAATTTAATTCTTCCAGAAACTTTACTATAAGTGTTCATGTTATATTTTTCCTAAATACTAAACTTCAAAAAGATCATAAAAAAATTGGAACCACCTAATTTGGATTCACCAAACTGGAGATATAAATGTCACAAAGTTGCATCCAAAACTCAACAAATGAGCTAGCTTTTCCTATTACAGTCACTGACGCTCGGGACCCACAGATCAGTGGACCCCGCTGATCAGTCAAACCAAAGCAGAGCGCGGCGTGGGATGGCGCGGAATCGGCGCTATCTCGCCGGCGGCGACTTCTCCAGCGAAACCGACCCCACCAAGGTGTTCACCTCACTCCCCCGCATCGATTCATACCGGTGGTTAGCCTAGAGGTTCACGGAAGGGGGCTCGTCGCCGGCCATGGTGGCTCGGTGGCGCGGCACGACGGTGCGCCGGCCGGCTCCGGCCATGTAGGGCGCGGCTAAGCTCGGTACGAGCTTCTAGAGCTTGCGAGGAAGACAATGTGGACGAAAGGAAGCATGGAAGAGCGCTAGTCAGCAAGGTCCACGGTGAGCTCGCGCTCCGGCGAGACTCCGGACATGGCGGCGGTGACAGGACTGGCCAACGGGCCCTCACCTGACCACGAACAAGACTGCGAAGGACTCGGGCGAGTAGAGCAGTGCAAGGAGCTTCTATGCGCGCGAGCAATTGCTCAGCGGCTGACCGGCGGAGGAGCTGCGCGACGGCGACGCGCTCGGCGGCAATGGTGGAGGCACGGCGCTCGGCTCTGAGTGAACTGACGAGGCGAGGAGGCGCGGGCGAGAGGGAGAAAGAGAACGAGAGCGAGTGGGAGGGCAGGCGAGCGCGGCCTCCTTGAGGACGACAGCGGGGCAGCGGCGCCAGGCCGACCACGCGGTGGCAGCGGCCTGCTGCCAGTCGGCACTGTAGATCTCCATCAGAACCCGCGATTAGAGCGTGACGACGCGTTTTCATCCCTTCGAAACTCCAAATCGGTGGAGAGTTAGCAGGATCTCCTTGAAGCAAAGTTGGAGAGCTACGATAGGGCTACAACATTGCTTTATCAAGTATCAGCAAAGCCTCAAAGAATCACGAGTTAAATCACTCCAAAGTCAGCCGCTGCAAACTGTAAACGCAGTCAACACTTCGAAAATTTTCTAAGTTTCCAAATAGACCTCAAAACTGACTTGTGCGCTCTTTTTTAGCATGTTCTGCACATTTTCATGAGTTGGTCATAAAATAACTTTTGTTCCTTATAAAATTTCCTACATCTTTGCTTTAGGTTGCTCAGACATGCAAAGACTCTAAGCTGTACTTTTTAAACAGTCAAACAAAAGAGTTCTAGGGGTCAACACAAGTCAAACAGTTACTTGGAAGCATAATTAGGCAATATGGTCAACATGAACATTGTTCCTAATGACATTCTAAGTGTAGCTAAGTTGTTTAAGAGGACATTTGACACACATTTGCATAGACCACACATGAGCACACACAAATGCTAGCACACCACCAAGCAATTCAAATAGAAACACACATGAAATGATAACATTCATCATGGTATAATGCTTATGAATGAGATGATGATGCACATGCTCATGTGATGCAAGTGTTTTAGTGCAACCATAACACTGAGGTGTTACAGACTTGATCCCCTCGAGCGCATGTTACTGAATGACTGGTGCCCCGGGGTGTCAATTACAAGCAAGCCAGGAACTTTGATGGTAACCTCAGCTTTAAGGGAGGTCCTCTCCCTGATATTCTCAACAGGTAAGTAGGTGGCACCAATCTGCTGCGTGATTCCTCCAGCCTCCCCACCCTGCACATTGCTTCGCCGAATACAATCAAGCAGCTTTGTCTTTCCGGCATCCACATGCCCAAGGATGCAACATATCGGTGCACGAAGCTCCATGTCAACCCCATTGCCTTGACCTTCATCCTCAAGGATAGAGACCAAATCTTCCCCAATATCTTCCAATAAACTGATTGGGTTAGAAATTGGAGCAGCAGAAGTCACCTGCTTTTCCTCTGCTTGCTCCTCTTTCAGTCCTCTAAAAGAGGTAGATTTACCATGCAATAGGGAATCAAATCCATCGAAGCTCTTGTTCTCGTGTTACACGGATACGTCCCTGAAGCTATGTATCGTGTATCTGGTATCGGATACGGATACGTGTCCGATACGTCCAGGATACGTATCATTGGAATATCCGATTTTTTATTATTTTCATGCAAATTGGATACGCCATCCGACACGTATCTGGCCTGCTGATACAGCCCAGCCCAGTAAGAAGAGCAGGAAGAGAGCCTTATCCCTCTGCCCCGACGCCCTAGCGTCCGATGTCCACAGTCCCGCACGGCTGCGCACGCGCCTCAACCCCGCTCGCCGGCCACCAACGACGAGTTTCCGCCCTGCGACGTGGATCCCGTGAGTTAATCCCCTTCCATGTTCTCGATCTCCTCTTCTTCTTCAGTTCATGGCCGCCGGCCAGCTCCCGTGAGAAGTTGATGAGCATGAGAAGGAAGTATCTGTGCCGGGGAGCACTCACCAGTCGGTCATGGTCGCAGCCAGATCCCATGATGCAGATCTACCGCACGAGCGCGCGGATCTGCTGAGCGCCGTGGTGCCAGTGGACGTGCTCCGCGCGTGAGAAGGGGAGCGGCGGCCGACCCTGAGAAGTGGAGTGAGGCGCGCGTGGGTAGGTTCCCAGCCGCCCAGCCTCCAGTTTTGTCTCAGCAAAATGAAATGGTGGCCGTTCATCCTAATCGGACGGACAAAAATGCTTCAACCTAGGGCTTCCTTTTAGTCGGGCTACTTATGGGCCTAATGGGAGGCGCGCGTAGGATCTGTGGGCTGTGGCCACCAGCCACTCCTCACACAAAAGTATATATGTCATTATCCACAAGGCTGAAACCACTGCACATGGTTAATTTCCCAGTGTCAGTGAACCTAGTAACCTTGAGCACAGCCACAATCACAAGAACAGACATTAGGATTTCCTGTGACTAAGTTTCACAATTTTAATTTGTATTATTATTTATTTATTAAAAATTAGTAAAACGTATCCACGTATCATATTTTCTAGAAAATTGCCGTATCCATGTATCCGTATCCTTCCGATACCGATACGCGTATCCGTGCTGCATAGTGTTCTCCCAAGTATCATCTTCGTCGATTTCATTGCTCTCTTCGAAGATGATTGTGTAATCTGTTCCTCCCCCAATTGCAGTACATCAACAACTACTCCAACATCCTCCAGCGACGCATTGCTCTGTTCGTACTGCAATTGGTCCTCAGACCCCAAAGTTTCTCCCAAATCAGTTTCAATTTCAGATTGGACATTCACATGGCGCTGCTTGGGCACCGATTTAGACTTCCTTGATTCATACACGGGCCTTCTCTACGCGCCACCACACCCATCACCGCCGGTGGCATCAGCAACGGCGACGAAGAGCCGCCTCCGCGCGGCCTCCATCCGGAGCTTCTCCTCCCGCTCCCCGCGCTTCTTGGCCTCCTCCTGCCTCTTCCGCCGCTTCTCCTCCCGAAGCCTCCTATCCACCTCGGCCTGCCTCTCTGCCTCCTCCCTCGCCCTCCGCTCCTCCTCCGCGCGCCGCTCCTCCTCCTCCCGGCGCCTCTCCTCAGCGCGCCGCTCCTCCTCGCGCGCGCGAGCCAGCTTCTCCTGGATCATCCTCATGTGCCTGGGCGCTGATGTCGTGCCACTAGCCGGCGCCTTCTTCCGGCCTCCGCCGCCGCCAGGGGCGGCCCGGGACCCCGCGGTCGTCCTCGACGACATGGGAGCGGATACGAGTGCGGTACCGGCGGTCCAGGTTGTCGAAGAGGCGGACGCACATACGGCGGCGGGGAACACGCGCGGACGCGCCGCTGTATAGACTAGATTGCGATGGCGGTGGAAGACCTAGATGGGTGGCGGGCGGCGGGCAACGGCAGCAGCGGCGAGGATAGCACGGCGCACGGGAAAGGCGTGGTCTGCTTCCTCGGGTGGAACTGGAGACTGATTCCTTGGTTCGCACGTTTTTGACCCAAACGGGCTGCCGATCAATTCGGAAAGACTGCATTGGCTTGGCCCAAGAAAGGCCATGAAACTTATCTAGGCTCGAATGTGAGCATGCTTGAATTTAGCTTTGTCCATCCAATCCAAGACCAAAAAATTGCTCAAAAAAATTTTCAAGAAGTTTGTGGTAGCCATAGGTACTAACATGATTCATAGCATGTGTACATACCCAATCATTCAGCATTCGAGAGAGTTACAGTTTTTCTTTGTAACTACTACTCCTAAATTTATACACCAGTCCCATGCATTAGATGATTAAGCATGCACACGAACCGTGGTAGGAGAGAGTGTAATAGACTCGTACACTCCTACGAGTAGAGGGACACATGGACAAGAAGGAAAGAGTGTAATAGACCAAAGTTTGGAGGTACAAATTTGTACTCTTAAAAATTAGTCTAGATATAGATTTTATATTATTATAATCCATATTATGAATAGGATTATTATAATTTGGATTAAGAGATATAATAATCTATATAGGTGGTTTGGATCCCTACATTATTATATAGGCGTTGAACTAGCAAAAATGTTCGTACGTTGCAACGGGATCTAATATGCATAGGAATCAGACTCTGTATCATTGCTACATGTGAATTGTTCTAACTCGTACGAGCACGATTGATGAGTCCGGGTCACGTACGAGATACGATTGATGTGATCTAATACGTCTTGGAGTTAGACTCTGTATCAATCATGGTTAGGCGCGAGTTATTCTAACTGGTATGATTATGAGTCATGAGTATGCACGGCTTGAATTCAATTTGGGAAGTAAAAGAAGCGGGACTAACTTGTGAGCATCTTACTAATTTCTTCGCTGAACTTCTATCTGCAATTCCTTTACATCCGTCGTTGGCGGCGTCTTTTAGTCCTCCCTTTGTTACCGTACACTTAACTCCATGTCGTCTACTACGAGAGCAAGAGTATGAGTGAGCATACACTTACTCCATGTCGTCTACTACGAGAGCAAGAGTATGAGTGAGCATAATTTAATTGTGTAACAAAGATGGCTAGATGAATCACCTTGTTCTTAAGATAAATGAATCAGCTAAATAGGACAGAGTTTCATGGACATCCGTTATCTTTTTGTTTTTTGTTTTTTTTAGTGGAATGGACTTCCGTTATCTGCCTATCTGGAAAAGTAGGAGTGATTAATTTCACATCAAACCTGCTAAAGTGGTCTTGTATCGGATTTGGATTGTGCTAGCTAAATACAGTATAGATATAAAACCCATGAAAATACAATTGGAAAAGAAAACATGGTGGTAGTAAAAAAATAGAAAACAAGAAACAAATAGACAATCACGGAAAACTATGCCCTTTGGGGAAAACACGAAAAAAAGAAGCCTTGTAGAGTCACGAAAATGGTTACGTTGGGAAAATTTTGGAAAGAAAAAAATAAAATTGCCGGTGGAAAAAATCAGAATAAATCAACAAATAGGAGATCACAGAAAACAACATCGTTGGAAAAAAATAGAAAAAACGAGTTATTCTAACGTATATGAGCAGTCACATACATGACACACAATACGTTTTGGAATCGGACTCACTAGACAAGAGCTACTCTAATTCGTGTAAACGTGGGATATATATAAATCCGGACAGAAGAAATTCTCCATTATCTGGTAGTTAGAGAGAGACGGACAAAAAAATGGACGGACCAAAAAATAGGTGGAGAGAAATTTTGCATCTTTATTATTAGGTATAGATTATTTTATATTCACCTATAATCTCCTATTACTAGGTTTTGAGATGGATTGTATGAGTATAATAATCTGTTGATTAGATTATTATCATCGGACTCATAGTCTTTTGTGTTTGGATCACCTAGGGATTGTTTTAAAAGTACCCATTAAAGGGAGCATTATTTCACCATTAATATTATACACTAGTAAACGTGGATGTATGTTGCAACGAAACACAATACGTATAGAAATCAAACTCTGTATCATCGCTAGATGCGAGTGTACGAGCGCGGATCATTGTGTCACATAAGAAATACCGAGAGCGCGACACAGTACGTATTGGAATCGGACCATGTGTCAATGTGTTGTACTCTTAAATATCAAGTTCCGTGACTTCATTCGAAGACTTTTAAAAAATTTGTAATTCTAATATCTCATTAAGTCGACAAAAAGTAATCAGTCTACATGTCAAGAACCGATCTTTCTGCTGATGATTATAATGGGAGAGCTCTCTTAAATTTCCATTTTGTTGTTCTCATTGAGTATTGTGCTTGTGCATGTGTACAATCTAGAGACAAATTTATTTAGACCATATACTCAATAATAAATACCTCAAAATCTGTGTTTGTAATGAAATCAGAAGTGTATGTTTCAAAGGGCCATCATATCTTATTTATTCTTTGTTTTTTATATTTATTGGAACGTGAACAAACAGATGGAAAAAAAATTGTATAGAGAACAAAATCTCAAAAACCGAGCCGAGTGAAAAACGGCCACAGTCCACACAGAAAATCGGAACGGACGAGCGTTCGGACATCAGGAGAGAGAAAAAACGTTCCCAAAAAAAGCAGAAAAAAAAACGAAGAAGGCATTGGACTGAAGATGGCCCACGGGGAACTGCCATGGAAACAGAAAAACGACGGAGGCCAACAAGAAAAGAACTCACGGAAGCAAATCAAACCGGTCTCAAGAACGGATTTTTTTTAGAACCAATAGTCAATCGGAAAGAAAGCAAAAAAAAAAAATGGACGCATGACTCCGGGGAAAACGGATATAAATTGTACCCGACTTTATGAATAGGATTATTATAATTTTCCAACCCCTGGTGTCTCGTTCCTATATTTTGATGGAGTGTTCTACATACTTGTGTTTACTTCATTTTTTGTTTGGTCTACAGAACAGAGATGGAAGGAATGAATCTTGTTGTTTTAAGCATTCCGGGCGTTAGGACAACGATAATGATAGGCTAATGACGTCCGTCCGGACGGATTCCGACCCGCCCGCGCCGGTGCGTACCATTCGCATACGTGCCTTGGAAAATATTAACCACACATTTCTCTCTCTCGTCCACATGCGTGCCTTATAAAATATCAGCCACTACTCCTGCCTCCTGCCTCCGCTTTCTACCGCTCTCGCGTGCCTCGAGCGCTACTCCTTCCATCTTTCTCTCTCTCGCTGCGGTGCGGGCGAGCGTTCTGGCGCAGCAGCCTTAGCATGGCCTCAGCACGAGCGGGCCCGGCCTTGGTGTGGCCTCAGCACAGACGAGCCACGACGCGGAGGCCCGAGCGGCCCTCGACACGGCGGCGCAATGGTGCCGATGATTCCAGTCACGGGCGGACCAGCACAACAGGTTTGGCACAAGTGGTTCCCCAACGGATCTGCCTCCCTCTCCCAGTCATGTGGATGCTGCCTCTTTGCCGCGTCGCGCAGTAGCCGCCGTCGGGACGTTGCCTCCGGTGAACTCCACACGCCGACAAGCCTCCATTCTCCCAAGCAGCAAAGAGATGTTCAGCTGCGCTGAAAGCGCATGTTGCAAGCATATGTTTCAAGTGTTTTAAATGTTTCAGAGGTTTGTTGCAGATGCTTCATATAGATGTTGCATAAGTAGATCAGAAATTTTGCACATGTTGCATATGTTGCAAGTGTTTCAGATGAATATTGCAAGTGTTTGTTCAAAATGTTTCATCTGTTTCAGACGTATTGTCGGGTCCATAAACCTGGGGTCCCCAATAGACCCGCTTCCCTGCAAAAACACAGCCCAGCAGACGGCATAGCGACAACGCGCGCCTCCCGGGCCGACCCAGATACATAATGACAGGCCGAGAGGACGATCCGGTCTCCGACCGGAAGGCCAGGCCAAGGTGGGGATATAGTCCGACTCCGACCTCTTTTTCCGACCGGGAATACGCCGGAGCTCTGCTCGCGGATCTTCCCCAACTGACACGGTTGGGGCCGACTAGGAACGACCGATCGGGGACGCCCGCTCGGTGAGGGCCCGAGGATCAAGCGGAGCAGATAAGGTGAGGCGCTCAAGTCAACCGTAATACCGAGGGCCGTACCCTACCTTGCCCTGCGCACCTACAGGACGGTGCCACTAGGCCATGCCAGACGGGCACTATGCAACCTTCCAGATGCGTCAGAGCACAAACAGTATTGTAGGCGCCGACATTTGCCATACTAGGCAAACACGGTAGAGCCTGCCAGATGTGTCAGAACGTAAACATTTTTGTGGGCTCCGATGACCGTCTCGTACCCGACAGCATGGGCAACAAGACTAGGTGGCACACGTATACATTCTCTCTTTCTCTGACTTATAAGGCCATCCCCTTCGATTATAAAAGGGGATGAGCTCTCTCCTAAAAAGCTCTCTAACTCTCCTCCGAAAAGATAAGCTAGACGATTCGAGCACTCAAGGACCTGAGAACTCGAATAGCTCAATAGCTCTAGAACTCTAAAGCTACACGAAGCATACGCTCCAATACTTATCGCATGTTAGAGCACCCGTCACTCTCGTCCCTTCGATTCAGAGTCCAACCGGGCCTTTAACACCCCCCTTCTCATTCCTACTTGTTTGTAACCCCACAACAAACTTCGAGCACCTGGGCTCAGGAATAAAGTCACCGACCGATTGAAACTAGACGTAGGGCATGTTGCCTGAACCAGTATAAATCCCGTGTCATCATGTGTTAGGCCACATCCGATCACGACGCACGGCAAAACTATAAATATTTACTTGTTGGTCACTTTTCGCATCGACAG